TCTTAGCCTAGTATTCTACGACTAAACCATATTGTTTATTCCAGGCCTTACCCGATAAAACACCAACTCTACCGATTAAATCATTTCGACCTAAATGGTAAACTACTCAGAACACCCAACAAATCCCTACATTCATCACATGCAAGGCTGGAACAACAGAATTTCACCAATTCCTAACAACATAAACACAATTCATCCATGGAAACAACAATCAGAATACAACAGCATCTTAATCATGATCATCAAATCCCTATGGGGCTAAGGAATTCCCAACTACCCCATTCATGCAATTACCAATTTTAACCCGTTTCTCCCCCTTACCTCGATTGATTGCTTCGATCAATGAAAACTTCCAAGAATCGGATTACTCTCCCTTGTTCTTCTTCCTCTTGTTCTTGTTCTTCTTCCTCACTTTTCTCCCAAATAGAGTGTGTTCCTCTTTTTCTTTCTAACTCACCAAATACCCCTTATCACACTTATTCCCCATTTCTTTTAATTCTAATAATATTAATAATAATAATAATAATACCATTACTATTAATTATCAAATTATTATCATTATTAATTATTTTATATTAATATTAAAGGCTATAGCTTCTTAAACAATCCCCACAAAAGATACGCCAAAAATAAGATAACACCAGAAAGATTAAATAATTAAAATGGGTGTTACATCATCTGCTATAGTGCGGTCAATAAACACCTGGAATGGCTCTATCGCCTGATTCCCTTTATATCGGGTAAAGGCGGAAGCATATGGCTAATCCTCAGTGTAGTTCATCGCAAGTTCCCACCCGAATATGCGAAGAAAGTGAGATATGATTCACGCATGAAAATGGTTTAAATAAAATATTAGTAACAAATGTAACATGTGTTTTGTGAAAGATTAATAATAGTAACAATTGCAAATAAATTACCGTAAATAGTGTGCAACTTCTAGTCATATGACTTGTCTTCTAGAGACAAGTTTCACCTAATTTGGAGTGTAGATAAACCAAACACGTGGCCTCTCAGTTCCACTCTTGGGCCCGCTCTAAGTCAGTGAAGTATGACACGTAGACCACATCGACGTAGGTTGCACTTTTGTCCACAAATATTGTCGTGTCAACCAAGTATGGGAAGTATGACCGCAATGCACATCATATGCGGAACAAAAACTGCTCCTTATCTCCTTCAACCTTCACTACAGCAACCATGTGGTATTTATAGAGGTTCGCCAGGTGTGAAATCGGGCATGAGCGCCTCTCATGGCATCAAACTCCTCTTGGTCCTAATTGGCTTAACTTCTAATAAGTTCACCATCAATTCAAGTGCCTCGCCTCTGTCGATCCGAGAATGGTTTTGTTATATTTCCCTAGATATCATCAAGGGTGATGGACATCTCACCATGAGGGATGTGAAAAGATGAGGCCTCTATGTGCCAAGTCTCCACAAAAGCCAACAACATGCCATGGTTAATGATCATGTATCTACTGGTACATAAATTTGTCAACCCAGAGTAACAGACATAATCTTGAAACCATATGTTTGCATTCAATTCCAGGTTCAAAATCTTCCTTGCATGGTTTACAGATTGTACATTTTCACGCTCCTATAAAAATAAATACATTAACATAAGTTTCAACTCAATTATTATAAAACTGATGTAATATGAAAGTAAACCAATATACCTCTCATTCCCACACATGCCTAGCATCATGTTCAACATATAGAGGAAGTAATGAGGTGTCATAGGGGCCTCCTAGAAAACTATTAGAAACGAGATCATCAGCAACAGGGGCTTCATAAGCTTCATAAGCTTGAGGGCCAACAAGAGACACGTGCCCTCGTAAGGTCGAGACCTGAAACACCTGACCTTGTGAAGTTTAAGTCACACGACCATGTGAAGTCGAAACTTCCGCGTCAAACGAACTAGCACTAACTCATGACCTCTAGTGTGTTGCCTTCTCCCTGCAAACAGACACATGTTGGGATACAAGACAGTGCCTTAACCTATCATGGTTTTAGGTCATTGTTCCTATAATACAAAACATAAATAATATCAAAATAAAGGAAGATGAATTTCGGAGATGCATCTCCGTAAAACAAAACAAAAAAAACAAAATCCAAATATATCGGAGGTGCATCTCGGTAAAACTGGAAAGGCAAAAAATTCTAAAAAATACCGGAGATGTATCTCCCTAAAAATGTGTGATAGCATAAATTTTTGAAAAAAACACATAAGATGCTTTAAACACCAACAAATTTGTATGCATGTCTAAACGAAGTGCCTACTTTGAGTATAACTACAAACTAATGCATTTTAAACAACTTATTTACCTAATACATGCATACAATTCAAAAATAGAAAGAAAATGAGAAACTTATCGATTGAGAGTTCTTGTGCAAAACCTTGAATGAAGTGAATGGAATCTACTGGGATTGATTGCAATACAGTTAAAGTAATGTTGAAGCTTGAAAAATGGCATTGTTGATTCTTGTTCACGAACTCTGAAGTTTAAGTGTTTTTAATAGTGTTGAAAATGAAGAATGGCGGGAAGAAGTTCTGACGCGAGGTATATCATTAAATTGCGTTCGGAGATGAATCTCCACAAAACTCACTGAGCTTAAAACCTTGAGCTTGCAAATAAGAATTTTTACGAAGATGCATCTCCAAAAATATTTTTGAAAAAAATAGTGTCTCACTCGAAAAAGTGTTAGAGATGTGTAATCTAAATGCTTTCAAAAACACACCTCCAAAATTTAGAAAATTTTATGACTTTTTTACGTGATGAACTAGCACCCCTGAAAACGGGAAAAATAACCCAAAAAACGATACATAACTTAATGAGTATGCACATACAAAACTTCTAAACACAATTATAAATTTATAAGAGACAAAAAAAAAATCAACATTTTATGAAACAAAAGTGTTTTATGTAAGATTTTTTATTGAGGGTAAAAAAATTCCTTCAAAGAAATATTTTATTTTATAAATTTATACAACATTTAATTAAATATAATCATAAATTAAAAGAGATTGGGGCCAGAAGTTTGGGGGAATTTCTTAATTTTCCATTAATACTTAGTCACCAAGCGAAATTATTTAAATGTCTCTAATTTCTGGAGATGCATATTCGGACGTACCAAAATTTGAATGAACGTTGAAATTTTTCGGAGATGCATCTCTGTAACAGTTTAAAACATTCAATATATCCCACTCAGAAGCAATTATAGATTTGAATTGGAGCGGAGATGCATCTCCGTGAATATTCCAGAGATACATCTCTGTAACGTATTAGCACTTAGTCTTTCATATTATATTTTATTTATATGTATTCAGATGAAGATTTAAACTATACCGTACAATCCAAAATAAAAAATTTATGTACATAATTTTAGATGATCCAAAAAATGTCATAAATAAAATATCAATAAATGTCAAGAATGTCATACAATCGAGATCAATACAGTAGAAAAACCATAAAAATAAAATACATGTCATAGTACTACTACTATATACTAAGACACTATGTATGTCTAACTACCTCTTATCGACATCCTTTGTCTCGTCTACCTCCTCGTCCATCAATCCTCCTTGTCCTCTGACGTTGTCTCGGTACAACAATGCCTCATATGTCTCCGTCATGATGGCATCTAAGACCTGCCTCACATCAGACCTATCAGGAAAGATACACTTGTTAATGTCTGCCTATGCAATCCTAATTATACGACGACACCTAGGCAAGACATTCTCAACATGATCTAATTGTGCTTGCTCCTCCTTTAGTATCTCTTGATGAATTGTTCTCGACAGATCTCCTAGAGCAACATACACCATGTACGGATGTGACACCCTGAAGAACCATTTGATGCACCATTTGATGTAGCTCCAGTAGCTCTTAGCTATGGTAGTCTGTGTCTCCTCTGGTACCATATGAATATCATAATCATCAAATATGTCTTATATCGGTCTACGTGTCAAGGCAGAAGGAACAAAGACAGTAGAGTGTCGTCAGCATCTACAGTAGGTGACACTGGTAAAATTTGACGTGTACTGGATAATGGAGGGAGTGATGTATCAGAAGGTGAATCTCGTCTACTACAAAAAGAAGATAGAGTGGCATGAGGAGAAGCACGAGTCTCAGAAGTAGATGGCTCTGCCTGGACCTCTCGTGTCTCCGTTTGTCCTCTATCAGCCATTATGCGTGTAAGTAAGATAGACTGTTAGTGCAGTCAAACAACACACAAGCAAAAAGAATTTAAAAAAATATATATTGCAGGAAGTGAGAAACTAAAACATTGTATCTCCAAAATTTCTTGTTACTCAAGTTGCGTCAATGGTGTCAATGTACCCCATGCAATCTCAAAAAAAAAACTTGTACAACTAACTCTCCGCTTCAATTTACCTTCAACAATTGTAAACAAAGATCTCCTAAATTCTTTAAAATGTATATCGCTTTCCACCAGATTTAATTTTTGGACAAACCAAATTGCTGTAAATTTCCCTAATCATGTTGATCCTTCATCACATTATGAAAATACTTTTTGAAAGCCATTTGTATTTGTGAACAGCAGTGTGATTCTTGTAACATTAGGTTATATTTCAGATTCTAGATGTGTATGCTGGCGGAGGAAGATGTTACACAACTCACTGTCTCAGCCCAGAGATTACCAGTCATTGTTTTCCTTATGACTTAAGACAGAACTTATCTTATGAATCCAAATTACATGTATATAGATTGTGAAGAAGAGATGAATTATAAGTCTCAATAGTCAATATAAGTCAACCTAGCCTGTTGTATAAATGATACAAGACACCACTAGAGGATATTCAAGGGATAACGAGTGGATAAATATTTCGCATATAACATATTACAGAAAACTGAATCCTCAACCGAAGCCAATTTCAGTAGGTACTATAACTTCTGGAGTTATTTTTCCTCAACCTAGTAACATTCTACCAAGAAATTTTTTACAAGAGAATCTACACTGCTGAAAGGGCAAGAGCCCTAGGTTCTTTAATGGTACATCTTTTGAAGAGCTTGTGGAAGATTCAATACAATTTCTGCATATGCTGGGATAGGAAACATAATATAAAATCATTAGCATGCGAGATAATTTAAAAGAAGAGCAATAGACACATATCAGAATCAAGTGAAATGCATGTTAACTCTGGACTCTAATTTCATTAAGGTACTATTTGTCCGATAACCATTGAAGACAAAAGGCTAAAAATAAGACATTATTTTTGTTAGAACTAAATAAACATGTAGATATTCTAATATTTTAGATTGCAAGTATTTTTAGAATATACAACTTCCTAGATTAGTGTTTATTCATTAGACACTTAATGTCTAGATTAGTATTTTATTGATTAGACATTCAATGTATTTGTTGTAACACCGTTATAAATATACGTAGGATGATTCAAGGATAGACACACATAATATTAAGAGTTTACATGTATCAGTGGTGGTTTCTTGGGTTGCTCTGCATTTTACTTCTTAAATTTATATAATGTACAGCCACTGTTTTATATACTTTTAAGCTGGTGATATAACCACTTGGCCCAAGCACCACCACTAAATGACGCACAATCTTCCGGCAAACAGAAGGTCGTATTCCTGAACCAAACCTCATGTGTTCAGACTCGAAAAAACGGTTTTTCTGTGAGAAAGAATTGGCACTTAGTTGAAATGGGTTGAAACGACTTGTAGCATGCTCCTTCACAATAATATTCATGTTGTTATGAGAAAGAATAGGCACGCTCCTTCACAATAATATTCGTGTTGCTATGAGAAAGAATCGGCACGCTCCTTCACAATAATTTTCATGTTGCTATGAGAAAGAATAGGCACGCTCCTTCACAATAATATTCATGTTGCTATGAGAAAGAATAGGCACTTCGTACCATGCTCCTTCACAATAATATACCTCTTCGTTTTTGGGGAGATGTGATCCTTACAACTTGCACTTAATCAATCACATGCCCTCCTATGAACTCAACAACTAGGTACCATATTCCATTTTGTTCTCCCAACATCTTTACTCTCTACCGTTCTGCGACTTTGGATGCACATGTTTTGTTCATGATACTACTCCAACTAAAGATAAACTTGTTGCAAAATCCCTCAACTGCCTATTCCTTAGCTACTCTCTTCTGTAGAAAGGTTCTAAATGTTATTCCTCAGATCTTTGGCGGTATATTGTCTTTGCCGATGTCAGCTTCTTCGAGACTCGTCTTTCTTTCATTATACTTCTGAAGAGCTCAATAATTCTAGTCAATCACAATCCTTCTCTCCATAGGTCATAACCCTTCCCGTTGTACCTACATGTGTCGCTATCCCCACACATGCCCTTCGCACCAATCAACAGAGGCCACATCCACCATTTGTTCCTTAAAACTCATTTGGATTATCATTGATATCTACATCCTTGTCTATTCCTAAAACTCCATATGAAGCTATGTCTGGCCCTGAATGGTGACAGGCTATGGTAGATGATATGGTCGTCTTGCACTCCAATGATATATGGTTGTCGATGGGTTAATACAATTAAAGTTGGGTGAGATGGAAAGATTGACCGCTTGCCTCATAGGAAAGAATACACACAAATATTTAGCCTTGACTATGGAGATACCTTCTCTACGGTTGCCAAGATCGCCTCTATCCGCCAAGTTCTTGCTTTAGCTTATATTCATCAATGGCCGCTCCATCAACTAGCCATCAAAAATGTCTTCCTACATGGTGAGTTACGGAAGGAGGTGTACATGGCATAACCACGAGGATTAAGTGTTAATAATGTTTTTTCTCACCTCATCTACCAACTTCACCGATCTCTTTATGGCTTGAAATAATCTCTCCTCGTGTTTGGTTTGGCATGTTTAGAATTGTGTTCCAAGAGTATGGCATGACTAGATGTGATGTTGATTACAATGTCTTCTTTATGCATTCTTCACCAACCACTTGCCTCTACCTGCTAGTCTATGTATACTACACTCCTATGGATCCCAGCGCCAAACTACTATCAGGTCTGGGGAGCCACACGAAGTCCCTGGTAGATATCGACATCAAGTTGGCAAACTTGTTAGTACTTGGTAGTAGACATGTTGTTAGTAGGGTGTATGTTAGGAAGGGTAAAGTGGAAATTAAACTTATAGTTATAACTATCAGTTGTAACAAACGAGTAACTAAGTTTGTTAGTAAAACAGAAATATACATAGTAGTTACAGTTGTATGCAACAGAAGAATAACTAAGTAACTAACTATGTTAGTAAAACAAAATTATAAATAGAAATTGGAGGGAAGGGATAGTTAGTTTTTGGAGCTCAATTGTAATTGAAAAGTGGCTTTCTCGAATCAGCTAGTTTATTGCATACTCTGAATTCCTAGAGAACTCTTAACTTAATCCCTTGTACCAGTTGAACCTTTCAAAACTTAATTACCTCACAATGATCATACCAGACATTACTTTTGTTGCCAATGTGGTTAACCAATTTCTAAAAGCTTGATGTGATAACCATTGGATTGTTGTGATCCCATTCTTAAGTATATGAAGAGTCCACCATTACTTTATGAAAAAAAGGATAACATCCAAATTGAGGGTTATTCTGCTGTTGATTGGGGAAGTTCACCAGTAGATAGAAGATTCACTTTAGGGTATTGTATCCTCATTGGAGGAAATTTGATCTCAAGGCGGAGCAAGAAACATAACATAGTTGCAAGGTCTAGTGCAGAAACAGAATATCATGCTATGGCAGCAACTTGTGAACTCACAAGGCTAAAACAATTAATTACTCAAACAGCACAAGTCAGGAGACGACAAGGCAATGAGACTAATATGTGACAACCAAGATGACATTGCATATCGCCTCCAACCCAGTTTTTCATGAAAGAACTAAGCACATAGAGATCGACAGTCATTTTGTGAAAGATAAGATTCGTTCAGGAAAAACTAACTAATTATGTTAGTTCAAATGATCAATTTGATGACATATTTACTAAATCTCTTAGAGGACCTCGGGTTGAATCTATCTGTAACAAGCTTGGTGCATATAACATGTATGCTCCAGCTTGAAGAAGAGTCTTAGAATAAATAAACCTGAAGATATTCTAGATTGATCATTAGAATTCCTAAAGTATACAACTTCCTATTAGTGCTTATTCATTAGACATTCAAAACAAATAGTGTGATCTAAGTATAGGCACACATACATAATATAAAGAGTTTCCCAGTTTTCTTGTAATTTAACCAAAATAATATAGTTTTCACCTTCTGGTAGACTCATAGTCCGTAAGGCATCTTCTGCATAGGATAGTCGGACTGGGAGAGGATGATTTCCTGAGACTCCATCTTCCATCCGGTTCAACGTTGTAGTTGAATTTTTATTCAACATTGGCCAGGCTAGCACTGTAACTCTAGTTGGAAGCACCGAAATGAGATCCGTGTATCGAAGGCTGACTGTCACTTTGCTACAAAAACATAAAATTTTGATCAATCAAGGTGAGAAAACAAGAGAAAATATAGGAAAATGGAAGAAAAAAGGGACAAAAAATTAAGTCATGAGAATCAGAAAGAGTGTATTATACCAATGATTTCATTGTACTAACATTTGAAGGAAGGAGAGAAAAACTTCAATGTTTACGATTACATAATTGAAGAAAAAATTATATGACATTAACTCACTAACCAATCAAAATCTTCCAATACAAACTCGATCATGTGATGAGGAAGGCTATGATACAGCTCTCCAATTTGATTTCCATAAAGTTCCTTTATAAGTCTGACCTGCATGAAATTTGTAAGAGGCAAAAAGTTAAATGTTAGTTTGTAACAAAATAATATATGTACTAGATACTTACAAATAGTCAAAAACTTGGTTCTTTACCATCCAAATTATTTCTCAGGAATTTCCAAATATTCAATTAATAAATTCAGTTTTAATAGGCAAACTGTGATCTAGCATAGCCTGTAACCTTGTGAATTATAGTTCTTGTGCATGCCAGCCATGCCCCAACTTTGAACATAGCATTGATTTTTAGACGTTGTTCGGGAGTTCGGAGGGTAAGGGAAGAATTGCCAAAATAGAAAATATTCAAGATGATCGATCATATACCATCTAATAGTTTACATACCAAGAAAACTAAGTGATGCCCCAAGCAACAGCACCAAGTTTAATATCTTCCACAATCAATGTGTACTTAAATGGCATTGACAGATGAACTGCAACCCATAATCCGAGATACTAGCGTTTAACATGCTCTAACATATTATTTTTTTGTTGGCACATTTAGGTTGTGTTTGAACAATTAAAACATGTATGGTTGTTTTAGTGTAAATTTTTTGCTCCATGTGTAACATACAAGTCCATAAGGATCATGATGGCAATATGCTTAATACCAAAAATGAACATATCTCTCTAATGATTACATACATGGGTAGTCTACCTGTTCCCGTCTATCCACGTATGCCTGCAATAGATCTCCAACATGATCTATGAATTTCTGAATGCCAACCAATAGAAACGATGTTTAGAAAAAATTCAAATAAACATGGTCCATGGTAACATATATAACTGATTTTACCATAGCATTGGATGAAAGGAGATCATTTTCTATTTGATGTATTGGCAAGAAATATGGAAGTGTGTGCTCAAGGACAGTCATCTTTTCAAGAAACGACTTGCTCTCCAGTACACAGTGGTAAAACTCACAAGATTCACCTGGCAATAAATGAACAGATATTATCATTAACAAATGGGAAATGGAAGAAGCGTGTAGAGAAATATCCAGCCTCTGTCGGTGTTATTCATAATATCACATCATGAATTAGCCAAGTCATGAACAATTTAATTCCAAAAATTACCGGCAAAAGATGTCTCATACTGTATGCCAATTCTTGCCCCTTCCAAACAGCAAATTACCTGCTCTCAAATACACAACCAATATCAAAAAGATTATTTATCATGAAGTTAATACATAAAATAACAACTAATCCAAGTAATGCAACCAAAAGCTAGACAGTCCAAATATTTTTTGGGTGGGGACACAACAAACACCACCTTCAAGCCATATAACATTAACATGAGTCAGCTATATGCATCAAATGTCACCATGAATACCTTCTAAAACTCATTTTATGATTTGGACTAATTTTTTTTTACCAATGTCCCTTTCATAATTCATAGTCACCTAATTCGCAATTCGTTTCAATACTAGGTTCAGATAGTCAACCCTTGAAGTATTGAGTATGTGGAGGGTATACATAACCGGTACATTATTGGTAGATTATTGGTTCACTATCAATAAATTTTGTTTTTCTAATAGTAAAATAAAATAGTTATCACCAAAAATCATATGATAAATAAAAGCTAACTTCAAATACTAAAAGATTTAATTTTGTAAGAGTAAAGATACTACATTTAAAGAACTTTATCCCAAAAAAAAAGACAAACTTGAAAAGTTATCTAAAAAGTAAAAACAAAGGAAAACTTAAAAATACATAACATATCAGGATTTCTTTAGTATGTAAATTAAAAATTGGTGAACTTTTATTTTTCGTAAAAATTTAATTTAATCTAAAAATATTTTGATCAAATTTTATTTATAAATTATTTTAGCCACAACTTTGCTGTTTAGAAGAGATAATGGTTTTATTAGCATTTATTTAAAAGTCACGATCTGAGAGTTGCGGCTTTTAAAAGAACATCACACTACAATTAACATTTAATATATTAAATTTAAATGGCATTCTTTTTATTGATAATTGTTAAGAAACGTGGTTGGATCTAAGTCAACTCTACAAAATGGGTGGAAAGGGTGAGAGGATTGCCCCCATTTATAAATACATGTTCAGGCCATATATTATCCAATATGAGACTTTTAACACACCCTCCATCACGCTCAGAACTAGACAACTAGGGCGTGGAAATAAATGGTGGCTGGCCTGATAGCAAAAACCATAATAGGTGGCCCACCGGATCTTAAACCAGGCTCTTGATACCATTTATTGGATCAAGAGGAAGAGCATCAACATTGGACCAAGAGTAACACAAGTGAGAGAGACCACATATTCACCCAAAACGTTAAGGTGATAGGTGTGTGAGTTCTCCCACTTATAAATACTCAAGTCTCCACATTTATAACCAATGTGGGACTCTAACTCACACTTGACTTATTATTCTCAACTCAACTTATTATTCTCTAACATTTGTATATTTTTTACTTTTATTTAATGTATTATGTACTAGTTTTGTATGAAAACATACTCCCTCGCAAGTGTTGATCTTGTCAAAACACAGGCCGTTGCTTTTGTTTATGATTTGCCTGCATCTATATACGTACATGCATCATATATTTATGAATTCACAATTTATCTTTAACTTTGTAGTATTCCCTTTTTTTTCTCTAATTATTATTATATACAACTTGTAGTTGTACTACTTTAGAATTGAAATTGTAAGCACACAAAATTAATATATTATATTATTTGATAAGTCTTTTTTATTTACACAATAATATATAACATTCGTATTTTAGAAAGAAAAAAATTATAACTATTTTGTAGGCTTATAAAATAAAAAATAAATTTAGTATGATATGTATTTTCAAGTGTATATATGTCATAATTTTTTTAATATAGACTAGCTTTACAGTCATGTGGTTCAGCAAGTCATCCAGGGTCCAACAAGTGATCTAGTATTTTGATCGGGTCGATCACTGGTCCAAGGTTTAAAACACTGGCTCTTTAACCTATTCTCTTACCCCCCACACTTTCGTCAGTACATAAATTGATACTCTCGCCCACATAACTTAAATTTGGATAGTATTGAAATATTGTTTAAACCTCATCTGCCTATATTTACTTCTCTACTGTCTATAATGCTTGAAATATCTGCAACTTATTACAAATATAATCTGCTATTACTGAAAACTAAGTAGCCACCATGAAAAGTTAGGCAGGGATGTAATATCATAATATTTACCTTGTTTCCAGTTTTGTAAGTAATTTTTTCCTGAGGGCTTGTTAATATGTCAGTGTCCCCAGACATTGCTTTTCTGTCTGTCTCTATATGCACCTGAAAAAGAATACATTTTAATGGGTCAAAAATTATCATGAACATCAACAGTGAAAGTCAAACAAGTGATTACTATGGAGAACATCAAGGACAAGTATCAGAACTGGCAGAACACGAGTAAAAAATGAAGGTATCAATCACATAATCACACCTGCTCTCTTATTGTAGCTAGTAGACCATCATTCCACTGCTCCCCATCTAAATATATCTCTGCATAAAAAAGGAGTTAGAAAACATTTTTCTGGATACCTCTAAGGAAATGAATTAACAGTGGAAGTTGGTAAGACTTTTTTAGATTAATGGTTAATCAATACTTTTTCTATGTTCAGCTCTCTTCTGTCAATCTACGCACACACAAAAAAAAAAAAAAAAACTACTGTCATTTATTCTACTTGAACAGCTAACATTAATAGCAAAATGATCTTTAATTTTACTTAGGGTCCAGTTCAATTCTAGTCGGTATAAATAGTGTAATATTCAGGCTTTTAAACAGTACTATTTAAAACAATAGATGATTAAACACTCAAATATTGACTTATAAGCCACTCAGCCAGGCTGCACCAAATAACAGAAGGCACTGAAGAATAATATTTTCTAGTTATTTGCAATGCTTTATTGGTAATTGTGTAACAAACCAACCCAGCCAGCACTTTGCACCCTCATGCCTGCAGGCTTGTCTTATATGTGTAAACAGTCATTTTAGTCTCCAAATGATACAAGTGACATCACTCAGATCCTCCAATCAAAGTTGATATTAGTATAGTTCGTCAATAACAAAAAAGTAACATCGAGTCAACCTGGTGCACAGCCTGTGAGAAGCCCATTCATGAAGCTTCAAATTTAGGAACTAAATTGATATCACAATTTGATAAATGGATATTGATGTCAATTTTATTTCGAGGATGAAACTGATATCACTTTCTATGGAAAATGAATTCAAGCATAAACACAATAAATTGAAACATATTGAAACATGAAAATCGAAAATGGAGGATAAAAATTGAAATTCCTATCAGCTAGACAAAAATGTAACAGGATCTCAATGGGTATGTAACAAGAAACAAAGCAGTGCCAGTCTGTCAGAGACTGTCCATTATAAATAGGAATCTACCTTCAGTTTGAGAAGCTCGTGCAGCTTCGAATTCTTTCTGTAGACGCTCAAATGCTATCTTGTCAGAATCCCTGCTGACTTAGTGAATATTAAAAAAAAATGTCTATACTTTACTGCAGCAAATAACAATTAATGGACATTTGGAAACGATAATTTTTTATTTAGGCACCCTTATAATGGGGACTAAGATATTCATCGAGGAAAAGAGAAGAAAACTAAACACCTTATAATAAGCAGGTAAGCCTTGAATGTGTATAAAGCAGTTTAAAATACATATTAGAAATTGCATAAAAGCCAATTATGTGGAAACATTGAAAATCACATTGCAAGAAAAGCTCACTTTGTGAGCTGACCTGCGTTGTAAACGAGAAAAAGCTGCCCTAGTACATGAGATTCTGCCATTATGGGAGGACCAAAAGTACAGTCTTAACTCCATAAGCAGAGAGGGTGTATCTATGACTACAACCCATGACCACCAGATTTCAAGGCAAAGAGAAAAGTACAAACGGGGAGATGAGTATGGTAAGGTAACATTTCTTCTCTATTCTTTATTTTTAATCATCCAAAAAATAAAATAAAAGAATGGATCAAAGAAAAATGGGGACACTTCATTGCTAGTTATCACTTTGCGCTCACAGGCCTCAAGTAAAAGGTCATTACTTTATATTTTCTTTACCTTTGTGTCTACAAAGAATTTACTGTTTTTGGTTTCTCTTTCATTAGCTGTGATAAGACAGACTGACAGACATTATTTTGAATTCGGGGATTCAACTACGTTTACTAAATTCTTTCTTAAAGTCCCACCAAAGACAATCTTCGAGGATCCCAAAAACCAATAATGAAAATAAAATGGGAACTCAAATAGTTTTCTCAACTTGAAATATATTCTGTAATCCTCATGCACCCCACCCACAGGAAGATATTAAAAGTCAAAACAGGAATTGTATAAGAAGATAATCATGGACAAGTTTATACAATTCTATACTTATTAGTTTTTAATTCAAGTAGCTGTAAGATGACCACTATTCAGTGACAAATTCAACCAAGAAAAAATCTTATACTTTCTTAAGGACATTTTACCTAGAAATACGCTCTGCCAAATCTCCATGTCTTTTAAGCAAACTTCCGACTGCCGTGAAAAACAATATAATTACTTCCTTCTATATCATCTAGAAAATGGAAGAAACATTTATGAGATTATAGACTTACATTTGGCTCGTGTAATCTCCAACCGATTATCATCGTCTTGTATAAAATTCTGAGAAATAGATAATACAAATATGTATTCAGTGAAGATAAATTTTTAAGATACCATATCAAAAAAGAAATCTGAAACTTGCATAAACTTTAAAATCTGTAAACTTAAATGTGGAACATTTAAAAATGCACAATTAAAACCGAGTAATGAAACTTCAAGCCTGCCTTACTACCATATCCATATACAGCAACTTGAACTTAAAAAGTAAAAATAGAAGATAGAAACTGCAAGAATCATTCTACTGCATCCATGTTTTATTTCCCTACATGCATGCTCAAAAATCCTTTATCACAAAGGATGAAGACTTTTGTTATGAGAAATTCAAGAAAATAAATAGTGAAATACTCTTTCCCATATTCATCCAAAACATCACTTATAAAAGTTAGAACCATTACCCCATCCCCCATAGCTCCATACGGTCGTTCCGCATATTGTTCAAACTGCTGCATGATCCCACAATCCAATGAAGAAAATAACAATAAGAGCAACACCAATAATAAACCATAAGATAAGCACAACAAAATGAATTAAATATATAAACAAATTCACAACTACGATTTGCAATCTCAGGTTTAACTTTCCACCAAACATGGCCTGAAGTGGAGATACACAGCTTGGTAGCATCAACTTTAAAGAATTCAGTTCCATACAAAGAAACACCGAGAATCAACGGAGTCGTGATTGAATTAGAAATTACATATACTAAATAACCTATACAGATAGCTTTGAAGAAGTGAGATAAATCAATCAGAGAAATTCATGTTGCAGAATGTTCAACAGTAAGGTATAGTCATAATCGTTCGTAGAAATTGAACTGGTAGTGAAATTCATATGAATTAGGGTTTACTAGTTAGGTTTTATTGCGATGGTGATTATTGCAATTTGCCAGAGCTGGAACTCGGATGCATGACCAGAGAAGAAAAAAGAGAAAGATTGTGAGGTTGGGGAAGGAAGAGGGGAAATGGACCTTGCGAGAGTATTCGCCGGAGAAAGGGTTTTTTCGTTGTCTCTTTCTCATGGATTCTTCCACATCGCTCTCCATTTGAAGGAAACACTTGAACTTGATGCGGTTATGTTACTGTGTTTTCCACAAGTTATGTGAGAAGCAACTGGGAAGACGATTGTATTGTATCAGGGTGTGTGTTAGCGCTAGACAATCTAGTGGGCCTATGCGGGCTTTATTACTGTCCCGAGTGATTTAAATTTGACAATTTTTTAATCCACCTTTCATACTATCACGCATCAAATTCTTTTTATACTTTTTATTTTCGAAAATACAAGGCTGAATGTATTATTTTTTCTTTACGTTAGATGCTTTTGGAGATACATATTTAAAAAAAGTTTCGTAGATTCATCTCCGAAATTTTATCAGAACAGATTTTTTTTTAAATTAAATTTTGTTGGTCGTAAATGAAAATTAACTGTTGCAGATAAATATAAAATAACATACATCTTTTATATATATATATATATATATATATATATATATATATATATATATATATATATATATATATATATATATATATATATATATATATATATATATATATATATGAGAAGTAATATGTCATAATCATTAAAATAGTACATAAATGTCATCAAAATATATACATAAAAAAACATATCACAGTTACTATTGTGTGTGTCTGATAACATTTGCATCCCTTCCTGTACCTATACCTCTGTCGCCTCCTCGACCGCCCAGTCTGCGTCCTCGGTCATCGATCTCACATGTCCTGATGCGATGCCTGTGATACATAAGTGTCCTCTGTGCCACCTCAATGATTTCATCCAATACATGTCTGTGGTTAGACCCCTCATGGAAGAAACTGGCGGCAATGTCTGACCACCCCATCTCCATTGTCTGACGACAGTGAGGCAAGACATCATGAGTGTGGTCCAACTGAGATTTCTGCTCCTCTAAGATCTTCTGATGAGCTGGTATGGACGGTGATCCTTCTGCAGTGGGCACCATGTATGGGTGTGAGACGGTGAATAACCATATGATGTAGCCATCAACCCAACTCCAGTCTCTCGGTCCTCTGGTCTCCCGAGCCTCGTCCAGTACCATGTATGTCTGATAGTCAGCAAAGATCTCGTTTACCTGCCTACGGGTCAAGCCAGGAGGAGCGGAGACAGTTGGGTGTTTGGGTATCGTTTGTGCGTATCCCAACTGTCGCATGATGCGCTCAGGCAAATGTGGAACAATGATGGTCGAAAAGCATGCCAACCATCTTGAAAATAGTGATATGTCGTCAAATTGGCGCGTCTCACGGTGATCGACATAGACGTCATAGCCGGTGTCCTCAGCAACCAGGCGATCGAGATAGACTTTGTAAGGGTCGACCGCCTGGTTCCCCCTGAGCGGGACAAAGGCACGAGCACGCGGCATCTGCTCTGTGTAATCAAGCACACTCCCCCACCTGACAATCATGGGAAAGTGCTGGAATATTCAAGTCTGAAATGAAAATAAAAAAACATAAGGATCAAGCATTATCACGAATATAGAATAAAAAGAAATGAAAAAAAGTTATCAGGATATAAGATTGTTACCACAAGTAGTGACACGCTTCCTACCACAATCCTGATCTTCCACAAGCATCCATCTCTCAGCCTCGAGTACGTGTAAGCTAGGGTAGCCGCCCCCAGTTGTACTCATGAATCTGTATGGAATCCAAAAAGCACCTCAAGTAAGCGACATTGGTATATGTAGAGGAAGTGTCCATAAACAGCTGTGTGCCGACTAAAAATAGAAAATAACACCTCGGCACATGATGTCTGTGTATCTCAATCTCAATTGGATCATTATCTGCCTGGTGTGCAACGTGAGCGCCTAACTAAATCTATGTGTCAGAAAGGAGAACCGCACATGAGCCCCCTGGTCTTATCCACCTCCTCAAATGCATGCAGTGGATCATCCCCAAGCTCCTCAATCAACATTTATCTCGCCTCCTCATTCATCATCCTACCGTGGTGGAGGAGGATACCCTTGATTGGTATATGCAACAGACAGGAGATGTCGTCTAGTGTTATAGTCAGCTCGTCATGCGGTAGATGGAAGGAGGACGTCTCAGGGTGCCATCTCTCTACAAATCCCATCAGCATCCCGTTGTGGATCAGGCTATAACTGATCTCACAAAGGTCATTCAAACCAGAGGCGGTAAGGACATCCTATAACCAAGCCTTTTGTGGCTGCTCCAAAGATAATATCTTCCTTCGTGGTTGTAGAACTTCTGCGGCTCACGAGTCTGAAAATTTTCTATAAATAAGAAACAATGTTAGTAATCAACAATGGTACAAATTATAAATTTCCAATGAAAAAAAAGAAACAATCTGCCTAATGTTACCTCTCCATCCCAGATATGTCTGGCAATATGGTCAGTGTACCTTGTCAGCAAGGACATATCTAAGGGACCCCCTGGGAAACCCTCAGGCTCATCATTATCATCGTGACCAGCATCCTCCGCTAGTGGGTCATCACCCTATGCAGGTGGCACCAGAGCAACATCGTCGGCAAGATGAGGAACAGGAGTATCCTGACGAGGCCTACGGGATGACGGGGATTGTGATGAACCCTCAACTGAATCCCGATGCCTCCGAGATGAAGAAGTCGATGATGATGGTGGGATACAAGGTCGAGAGAGTGTCCTGAGCATGTGGTGAAGAAGGTTGTCTAGTAGGTTGTGCCTCAGTTGTATCGGCCTCGGTAACGGTGGCCTAGCTCCGCTCGCGTCTCACAGATGCATGCTATAAAACCCGTCCAAGTTGCAATTTATCGTCTATGTCTGCCATAATGTATGCAATAGAATGACCAAGAAAAAACAATTAGATACAAATAAATCTAAAAATAAAAAATAAAAAAAATAAACATTTTATACTTCTGGATATACACACACGGAACAAGTTTCGTAGATGTATTTATGGAAGAACCCAAATTTTACAATGTTTGGGTTATTCTGGAGCTGCATCTATGAAAGTGCTCTAGCGTTAAATTTATCCATAGATGTAGATCCAAAACAACCTGCAACTCAAAGATTACGGTAATGGCGTCCCTTACCCATGCAAATATGATTTTTGAAGGCCTGGTCGTCTGTTTCAGCCAACAAACCCATGCAAATGTGATTTTTGAAGGCCTGGTCGTCTGTTTCAGCCAACAAACAATACCTACATTATCTCTAAACTATGTTTCTAAAATTATCTAAGAATTTCTACCCCTAAAGCTATATTCTAACTCGTTTACGGGAAATACTCAAAAATAACTCAGAAACTTGAAAACTTACTAATTATATCGAGCTTTAAATGTGTTGGTGTTTATTGATTGTTGAAATGAACACTTCTTGTCGAACTTGATTGAAAATAATGAAGTTTGGTGGAAAAATATTTTTTAATTCAAGAGAATTTGAAGGGTTTGAGAACGACAAGATGAAAAATGAAGAATGACGGAGGAGAAGAAACTCTGGCGCGCATGTATTCTATTTTTTTCCGAAGCTATATAAATGGAAACCTTCCGTAGATGTAGCTCCGGAAAAAAAACCAACGTTGAGTAAAAAACTGTGCGTTCGAAGATACATCTCCGAAAGCAGAGGGTATTTTTAGAAACGCACATGGTACGTAAGAACCCCAAGGAGTGGGGTAAGAACATCTCTTAAATATTTGAAAATTGTTATATGTACCCTTACGATTTAGTTTTAGGTTATAAATTTTAACTATTAAATTATTATATTTGTTAAAGTGTACATTTTTCTTTATAGACAAAGTAGTAATATCTATTAATAACTCACACAAAACTATGAGGTTAGTGAAGGTGAGAAAAACACTTAGAAGCGGGGTTGAATAAGGGTTTTGAAATAATTATGGCAATAAAAACAACACAGTATTTTTATCCTGGTTCGTTGAACTCAACTAATTCAGTCCACCCTACCAAGGTGATTTTCCTTTCTCAATAAGGACTTAATCTACTATATTCAAACAGATTACAGTGTCAACCACTAAGAACAACTGTCTTAGTCTTCTCAAGAAATCCTGACCACAACTTGGTCTTTTTAAGGAACCTTTTACAAATAAATGTAAATTAACAAGTGTTTAAGATGCTTCTAAAAAGCTATATCACAACTGTGATTTTTACACTTAGATTAAGAATGAATAAAAACAATTCAACTTAAGAAATAAATTGTATGAGAGTTTGAGAGTAGCTTTCAATTTGATTTCTCAATAATTCGTCAATTCGTCAACTTTGAAATGTTGTTAAAGACATCCTTTTATAGAGCAGAAAGTCCAATGCTTGAAGACTGTGCGTAACAGAGTAGTTGTAGCCTTTTTGTCTTCTATTGACTTTAGCTTTCCCAGAAAAGGAATGTTCAGACAAATCCCTTTTGTCTTATTTCCTGTGCCAAACATGAATAAGGAAAGATTCGTTTGGAATATGCCAACGGATATATCTTTGAATAATATCTTCTTCGACAAGCTTTTGTCTTAAAGTTATCAACATCAGAGTCTTGATGTTATCAGAGTTTTGCAGCCAATGTGCTTCAGCGTGAATATCAATCAGAGCAGAGTTTGAATAACAGAGTCTCTGTACTTGCAGCGTAAAGTATTTTTAGAGTCTTCTTGAAACAATGCTTGAAACTCTTCATACAATTTCTTCAACTACGCTTCAGAGTCTTCTGCAGCTTCTGCTTCAGAGTCTCTTCTGGCAGCGCTCAGAGTCTTCTGATGACTTGCTTCTGATGCTTCAGAGCTTTGCATAGAGTAATGTTCATATGCACTTTTGCTTCCATAAGAATATTTATTTTAATATCTGAAACAAAAACACTTGAACAAAATTAGAGTATATATTTTCTTAATACAAAATTTCATTACTGTTATCATCAAAACATAGAGATATATTAAACACCAATTTGTGTTCTAACAATCTCCCCCTTATTTATGATGACAAAAACATAGGAAATTTTGTTCAATAAAAGGATAAAAATATAACTCCCCCTGACATAAAGAATCTCCCCCTGAAATGAATACTCTAATAGAAGAAAATACTTCCCT